GTTATTTTAGAGCTGCGTTTTTAGGGGACACATCTTGGGCAGTGGAAAGCACTGCTGAATGGTATTCTAAAACCCAATTCCTTTTTTGAATTTTGAAGAACTGAGTTATTTCAATGGCACTAAGGCTATCAAATAGCTGACTAGACTATGTGACCTTCAAGTGATTTTGTTTCTTTGAAATAATTAGGGTTTAAAAAAATTCATCCAAATGCCTAATTTAAAAGCCTATGATTCACATGAGACATTATTAGTTCCTTAGTTTGGAAAAGGGGCTACTGGTTACTTTGAATGAAATTAAACAGCAAGTTGATTATAAACTTTGTTCTTGATATCACAACTTCTCTACCTCATTTTTCTTATACAAATGGACAATGGTCAATGGTCATTTTTTTTTTTTTTTTTGGTCTTTTTCATTGTTATCTGTACCAGGGATCGAACTTGCAAGGCAGGCGCTTATGCTGCTGAGCTAAACCCCCAGCCCCAATGGTCAATGTTTTAGATACTTGTGAAAGTATTTATTCTGGAAATGGTTTCTGTTAAGTGGCAATGATTTTGGGATAACACATTGCAAGGAGCTGACGTTGTATATCACTTTATTGAAAGATACCTGTCAGGATGTCTATCTGCCTACCTACATGTCTCTATGAAATGCTTATCTCCAAGAGTAAAACGTACTAGTTATATTGCCATCAATAGAAAGGCCTCTTTTCCTTTAAATTCCATCATGCAAACTTGTTTTATTTTTAACTAACTTTCCATATTACTCTGTCTGTTGAGTAATTTAAGAAAGGAAGCCAAGTTCAATTTATTGAGAATTTCCTAGAGTGAGAATGATATAAAATTTGTGTATCTGCAGATGAAAAAAAAGTTGTGCATTATTAACCTTAAGATTGGATCTTGCTGTTCCAGTAACACACAGCATCACTCTATAAGGAAATAAGGGATGGCTTTCCATATGAGGGGAGTTGAGGTCACTGAAAGACTAAATCAGGGCTGTTTGAGTCCCCAGAAATGCTTTATTACAACATTGTGTCTGCTCAAAGTCTATCAAGTCTAGGAAGTGCAGAGCAGGTCCTTACTCATTATGAAATGAATATACTTGCAACAGGTGGCTGGTAGGGGTTTGTCATCTTGCAATTCAGGAATAAGATAATGCAGGCATCACCTGCTGGGCATCTCCTTTCCTAGCACTGAATGAGGTGTCTTCCACTGGGCTTCCCCAGCATGGAGGTGTGTGCAACACACCCCTCATCTCAGTGCCTTTGTCTTCTACTGGGTCGTGACTTTCTTAGGAGGACTTCCTTTGATCTCTACAGGCTCTGCTCCCAGTACAGTGCTGGTCCATCAAGAGTCTCAGTGTTTGGAGCTGGGGAGGAGGACAGGTATGGCTCAGGGAGCTGGTCCAGTTCAGGTTCTAAATACTTGAGTGCCTTGTGGGATGGAAAAGAAGGGCTCTGAGGGCTGGGACACACTTTGTAAATACTGCAATTTTGTCCAGTGTTCTATTAAAATAAACTTCTAACAGTAAAATGTTCAAGTAGGAGGAACTGTCTCGTCCCATAGGTCACTGTTGTCCACTCTATGACGCTGTCTTTCTTGGTCTTCCCACTCTCTTTGCCATAGCCGATTTGCACCACTTCTGCCCATCATGCTTCTCTGCACAGCCACAGCAGCTGGGGTTTGGTGTAACACAGTCTTCAGGGTAGGCCCTATATTACCACTTACTATCTCTGGGTCCCAGAGCAAATTATTTTACTTCTTTGAGTCTCATTCATTAATTTCCACTCCTGTGATCATTATGAGGTTTAGATGATATAGAATATATAAAGCTCACAGCCCTGCACCTAGGCAGGTGGGAGACACTCAGTAAATGCTGGTGTGCCTTCACCCTCTCATTCCTTTTTCAGCCTGGCGGGTCAGTCCTTTCCATCCTCTTTACCCACTTTACACCATATTTACTGGTCCTATAAGGCCTTGTTCAAAGACCACCTTATCTGCAAAATCTCCTTTCCCAGGGAAAGCCAGATTTCCTTCCCCTGCCATCCGCTGTCTTCTGATCACCTAGGGTGATCATTTTTATCATCATTTTTTATCATCATTTTTCCTGGTGTCTCAGTGACTGCTGGGTGATATTTCTCCCCTGGTCTCTAAATCTTATGGGAACAAATTGATTACCTTGTAGTCTTATTTCCTCAAAGCACCTAGAAGAATAACTTGCATATAGTGAGTTTTAAAAATAATAGCCTGATATGTTTCAGGAGAATTCTTTTTATTTAGAAATCATCTAACTCTTCTTTGGATATGGGGTTCTGTTTGGTCCACTTAGAGAGGAGGAACAAAGGCCTCATTATATCTGACCTCACACAAATGTCTAGTGAATTTCTGGAAAAAGTTATAAATAACTTGCACATGTCTGTTTTCTTAATGACTACTCACATAAGCAATCATAATAGTCTTGCTTAGTCACAACTCTAAAACTGTGAAAATGCCTAACTGGAGGGGAGATATTCCCAAGGCTAGCTTGCCTTGTAGTTATTGCGCCCAAACATCTTTGTCTTTATTGTACTTCTTTAAACTGCACAGCAAGGAAACAATATAAATCGCAGTTAGGATTATTATTTTACAATGAGAAGGGAGGATTCCTTGAGTATTTGAAGAAGTCAGACCTAGCAAATGCCTATCTGAGGTCAATGAGCTGCCTTGTCTTTTTGATGGAATCCTAGAATTAGGTTCAAGCCAAACCTGGCTTCTTATAGAGGCAGCTGCCAAAGGATGTGATTTGAGGGAGTTGAGTTCCTGTTTCAAAATATCCTTTGTACTGGTACCTGAAAGGGATTTCCATGTAGTTAGAGAACTTTTTAATTTTTCAGAGGTTCCTATTTCAAGTTAAGGATTAGCCAGCATTTCTACAATTATCTATGCAAGAATAGGTTCTCTGATTACAAAAGCCTGGGAAACCCTGTATGGTTTAATCTTCTCTACAGTTTATTACAGTAGAGGAGCATGCTGAAGGCCCCAAGAACACAAGTAGTAAAAAATCTATTCAATTTAACTCAAACTTTATTACTTTTATTACTTTATTACCATGAAATTAATATTCCTTTTCATTGTTGTAAAATGCCCATATGTTTCATAGAATGTACTTTCGATCTGTTGCCTTCTCTATTACTAGTTGTCACCATAATGGATATGAATGTTCAACTGGGAGTGGGACATGGTGGGACATGCCTGAAGGGATGGGAAGTCAAAAAGGATAAGGAAAATTAGAGGGATCCACAAGGGCCTTCAACACAGTCTGACAGTCTTGCTAAGGTCTGTCTAGGTTCTCATTCCAGACATTATTTTGACTTTATTTTCCTGTTTCAAAAGCTCAGTCATTGTTAAGTGATATGATGAGACTGTTCCACTTTTGCATCTTCATGTGATCTCAAATTGTCTGATGTTGTAGGACAGGAGAAGCAAGAGCTTGGATAGTGAATTTGCTCAGCTGGAAAAGGAGGAAGGAAAGGAGCAGAGTAAGGGGGAAGAGGGAGACTGAGATGACAAGCAGACAAGATGAGCTACTGGCAGTGGGAGGTAAGAGTGGAGGGCTATAGGGAGGATGGTATAAAGAGAGGCAGTGAAGATTTGTGACAGGTCAGGTAGAGATAACAAACTCCCCAGATATCCAGGGTTAAAATAGTAGCTGAGCCAAGAGCCTTCTTCTAAGAATGTTCTGTCTACTGATAGTAGGATACTTATTCCTATCCTTGGTATTCTGCCCTTGGAACTCTCACTGCCCAAGGGTCCAGGCCCCCTCCTCATTGTTGATAGGGCCCACTATGAGATTCTATTAGTGGTCTTCTACCTAAAAAAAATCACTGTTAATTGAAAGCCTAGGTAGAGCCAGAGCAAAGATGTGCAGAAGCCAGAGTCAGGAGGGGCTTAGAGGGGCTTCTTTCTTACCTAGGGCTGTCAGATGGTCCACTTCTTGCATGCAAAGCAGCTAGGAGGTATCTGGTAAGCTAAGGCAACTTAGAAATGCTGGGAGCTGAAAGCAAGTTAGGCAACACATTTGGGAATTTCTCTCTCACGTTGAAGGATAAAATTAGCTGATTCACCACCAGAGTGACTTTTGTAAAAGCCATGTAAAATCCCCAAATGTTTTCATATGGTACAAATATATATATTTAAAAGGTGGAGTTCATGTGGGAAAAATAGAGGATAAGACAATAAGACAACTCCCTTTGCAAGAATTCATAGTTTTCAAATTGTTGCTCTACGGAGAACTTAATTCAGAAAAATGATGCTGCCTGGGAAGAAATTGTCTTCTGGGAGAATGTCTTGCCTAGAATACATTTACAAATGAATTTTAAAATAAATCTCTCCTCATGGAAAATGATTCAAGTGATACGCCCAACCTTACAGAATGGGGCCCTTGATACAGATAGTTTTGCTCACTGAAATGCTGCCCTGACATCTAAAGCTCCTTTCTGAGACAACAGCTGCTCAGAGGGCAGGAGCTCACAACTCTCTGCGTCAAAATCAGGTCTCAAGCTGTTTTTGGGTGTATGTACATCCAGATCTCTCATTTATTTGCATAAAATCAGAATCTCACCAGAACCTAACCAACCTCTGGAATCAAGGGCACATCATGAAGGTGTTGAGTGTTTTTATATGTTGTTGAATGTCTGTAGGGGAAACAATACTGACCCAGTAGGTGTTTAATTGCATTTACACTATTGACACCATTTCTCTGAGTGTGTTATACATTTGGGATGGTTTGGATTGTTTGAATGGAATAACATGATTACCCATGGTACTGTGTGTCTCCAATTCCAAATAAACACAATGGCGAAAACTAGACAAAAATGCAAAATGAATAATAAATCACACAATGTCACTGAAGTCATGCAAAGAAAGAGAGGAAAAAAGATTAAAACATGGGCAAGCAACAGACATCATAAATGAAAAAACAGAAAAGAAAAAGCCAATGCATACAATTCTAAAATCATTCTTACCTTCTTCAGTCATTGTGTCATAATATTTTAGTTTTCCATATGATCCAAGTTCTACAACATCACAGTAAAAGACACAAAGATAAGGAACGAGCTATAATGCAAGAACTTCGTTTTTACACATTCTTAATTAATCAGATTCAAAGTTATACTGTCATCCTGCAATCGTAACTATATGGAGATGTGCAAACATGGGCCATGTGGCAGACAGCTTTCACGGCCCATTTTCAGAAATCACTTAAAATATAGTATTTTTCTGTGCCCTTCATTACAGAATAGGACACAGTTATGTTAACATCCAATGAAACAGAACACTTGGCAAAGATACTTCACGCAACCCTATTCTATAATTTTTATGGAGGTGATACTCCAGGAGCAAAGGACTGAACAAAGACAATGATCATGGAAACCTGCAGACCCTGGGACGCTTTGCCATGGATGAGTAGGCCCAGAAGTACATTTCACAGCTTCTTTTCAACAGAAGGCACTTCCTAGAAAATAAGGAAGCTACCTGGGAGAATCCAAAATGAAAAACCAGGGCTTAAACTTCCCTCCACTTTGTGTCTCCTGAACCAGGAAACGCAGAGTGCCATGTGTGCGACATGAGGAGAAGGCTGCAAACGGTGCCAGGTGCCCTGGGAGCAAGAGCAAGGTGTACTCCCAGGACAACCACCTGGCTCAGACGTGTGACAGCCCCCAGATCAATGTGTCACCTGCTGTGCTATAAACTTCAGGGCCTGGATAGGACCAGCAGCCCCTGCTCTGAGGGCAGTTGGCCCCCTGGCTTGGCTTCAGTGGAAACCCCTGGCTCATTTTGCTGTTTTTACCAGCTGCTGGCATGGCTGGGATGAAGAGAGAGAGGAGGTGGGCACCTATCATTTTTCTTTTCTTCCTGTTATTTTAAAATGGAAATCTTTATCTTTGTTGGTTTGAAGAGTCCATATTGTTTCGAGCCACATCGTAAGCAGGTTAAAAATATTTGTTCTTGGTCATAAAACACTTTGCCAATAAACTACAAAAAATTAATTAGACTCAAGAGATATCCCTGTGCTTCTGCAGAACATTTCCATACCCCATTAACTTGGGCAGATGCTGGAAATCCACATACGAATCAACAAATAATTGATGGGTTTATGTACAAGATGAATCTACCTTAAATCAATTATAAATGTATTGTATGCTTATATTAAACATTCTGTATATATTCTTTTCCTCACAAATTTTACCTAACGCTATTTTAATACGCTACCCCAAATTTTGTCTTGAGGAGAAAAGTCACTTTATTGTTATGTTTCTGCAAAAATCAGCTTATTCTCGTTATTGTTAGCTATATAACAAAAGATGCAGGTACTTAAAAAGAAACTAAATTTCATGTAAATAAGAAAAAAATTTTCACGAGTTCTGGGGATTGCCTTCAGTGGAATGTTTATTTCTAGTATTTTAAGAAGAGTAATCTATTATATATGCAACACTGCACAAGTTAGGAATCCTTAAGTGATCTAAGTAACTTCATAAATATTAAACACATGTTTACAGTGATTTCACACATATAATGTGTGTGTGTGTGTGTGTGTGTGTGTGTGTGTGTGTGTGTGTGTATAAAACCTTGCAGTAAGTTGATGGATTTCATCAGCCAAGTAATATTTTTGTAGTCTTTCTTCCTCTTTCCAAGTAAAGCAGTGGCATAAGCAGCTGGCATTTACTATTATTTGCTCAGGAAATAGACTGGCTGGTTTCATACATGCAAAGTTGGCTGTAAACCATATTCTACCATTGCATTTTCATGGGTCCATCTTTTTTGATGCAAACTTTCTATATGCAAACGTCTGTTTTCACGTATCAATCACAGACTGTCAAACATCTGTCTGTGGCAGATGATAACCCCTTATCATAAGAGAATCAAGTATAAATAAATACATACATGCAATTATATTGTTGAGTTATCAGTTTATGTTTATCTAGTCAGAATTAGATCTGTTCATGTTCAACAAATGCACACATTATTGCCTCTGTGGCAATGTAGCTGCTTCCCTGGATGAAGAATGGGACAGAAGGACAAGAATTCAGCACAGTGTACCAAAAAAGAGACAGATGATGGTGGAATAAGAGTAGAAAAAGCTGCATAGTGACAGGTGACATGGCACCTTGAAGCACAGCAATGAAGAAATGGAAGGGAAGAGTATCTGCCCAAGCAAAGGCAGCCATGTGTACAGTTTACAAAAGAAAGGGCAGACAGGAAACAAGCCTGGTAGAACATAGTCTTCAATAAGGTCAGGAATGGATGGTAAGATGGCACACACATTATCACATCCCGAGGAAGCAGGGTACTATGCCCAGGACGAGGGAGTCCTCTCTGCTGAATCAGGGCCTTGGAGGGTACAGGACAAGGAATGTGACAGTGACTGGGACAAACATAACATGCACACATATGCCAGAGTTCATCACACACCTGGAAAGTGGTTTTGTCTGCTCACAGCCTGTGACCAAGTCTAGCCTGGCTGAGAAGGGCTCGGAGGCACGAATGAGAACTCACCTGTATAGAATCATGGCTTTTAATCAGCACACTTCCTATAGCAAATAACCAGGACCCCCAACTTATCTTAACTAGTATTCAAACTGGGCGGAAGCTAAGCTGAGTTTCTTTAGCATGGGAGGAAGGAAGCTCAGAAATTCAAGAAGGCATTGTTTAATCCCATCTAGCAATGTTCATTGTAGCAACTGACAAGAGGCAGCCCTGGAGAAGTGATGTGTTACACGTGATGCCATTCTGGGTACAACCTGGTGCCTCTTCTCTATATTTCTCTATCTTAAGAGAAAAGTTCAGGACTCAGTGGTTGGTGCTGGGGATAAGCCTATCATGTGATCATGAAGGTGCCCAGCATGACTGTTGTACTTAAACTTCAGGCTGTTTGGGTAGGTGGGTACACAGGTACGCAGTCTTTTAGATTTCCAGAGGAACTGAACTCTTCAGTAGTTCTCTGTCCACTTCCTTCTGGTCTGGCCAACAATTTCCCTACCTGGCTTAAGGTACCTTTGAGTTCTAGTCCGTACTTTAAAATTAACAAAACCAAAGTAAGGGTCTTGTCTCCAGTCTTTAAGAATCTGCAAACAGGAATTAGTATTTTGAGTTCTTAAATTATTCCTTTGTTGAGAAGTGCACAAACATAGATTTTTTCCTTCCACCACTGCTTTTCTCAGCTGTAGTTTTGAGGCCTTTGGCACTCTCAATTCTTTTTCTGCAAATCCCAGAAGTGGAAGTAGCAGAAAAATGATTTCTCACATTTGAGGCCTCGAAAGTCTGATGTAGAAAATGTAAAATCAATAGAAAGATCCGTGGTGAGTTCACTTTATTAGATTGAAAAATAGAGGTCATGGAAATAGAGAAGTCAACGAGAACAAGCATTTTTTATTTCAATGTTAACTGATGGAAAAAATGAATTTTTTAAAGAGTTAAGTTTATTTTGGGATTGGTTTGACCTGGACATGAAGACATAAAATTAAGGCTTTCTCAGTACAGATAGTTTAGTAGTTTTTGGATAAAGCTGCCTAATATTTACTGAGGAAATGTGCGCAAATACTGGGTCCCTCGAAGGTTACTTTCAATAGTGCATGGAGGTTAAGAACATGAGCTCTGAAGTCAGGGTTGTGGATTTGGACTCAAGATCTGATACTTAGTAGATGTGTGACTTTGGCCAAGTTGTTTTACCTCTTTGAACCCCGGAGTCCTCAACAGTAAAGGAAAAGTGTGACTGCATCTGCCTTACAATGTGTCAGGGAAGGGCAGACAAGATGACAGCAAGCAATACGAAAAGCTGTCATTATTGCAGGCACCATAAACAAGTGTGAAAGAGGACCAGTGGGAACAGGAGCAGGCACTGAAACAACTTGATGTTTTTATTCAGGTTTGTTAAAACAAATTCAACAGGTTTAACGAGGTTTTGGGTTGTTGGGGTTGTTGTTCAACAGTAGAAGATATTCTGCTACACTGTGGCTAGTATTTTAAACATACCCTTGCATGAATCCTGTCTGTCCACTCTAAAGTCCAAGAAGAATCAAAACCTGGACCACAACCAGGGAGCAGGATATGAAAAGTGGGCCCTGTATTTCCCTGACTGTCAGAATTCCAGCTTGGGACTGAGATGCTTTCCCTTATAACATTTGCTTGTGAGCCTATCTCTCCAGCTAGGCTATCATTGGAGCAGAGACTCTAGTCCTCTTTAGATCCATCACAGCAGACACAGAACTGTGTTCACATCACATGCTTGCTACACATTTCTTAAATAAAGTATTCAAATTTGCAGCTCTCAGATGATAGTGACATGCAGGACATGTGCATATGTTGTGCTTCTCTGGATTTGTTGAAGTCAAGATGTCTGGCGCTGATGACAGGCTTCTGAATGATACTATAATGTGACCATAAAGGTTAAGAATGCTTCTGAGCAAGACAGATCAACCATCTAATTAAAAATATGACGCTACTACTAATGAATTGGTTGACCCTCTGAGCCTCAGTTCTTTCTGTAAAACGAGAAAAAGTGCAAGAAATGACTATTAATAAGAACAATAAGTTCCTAAACAGCACTTTGCAATGGGGTGGTACAAACATATTTAATAATTGGCTCCTCTCTTCATTGTCTGTCAAAGTTCTGCTGTGAACAGCTAAATCAGTTCAGTGCAAGGTAGTTAAACCCTATTCACAACACTAATGGGTGGCTATCCACCTATATTTTGAGATATGCAAGTTATTAAAAGCCCTTACCTTTCTTCCCCTCAACACCGGAAGGCTGTTGGAAGAAAAACTGTCCATCCACTTGCTATAAAACTATGTTTTGCAATATTTTATCCTGAACATAAATGATTTTTTTGCTTATTTCAAAAATCTGCAAATGTATTTTTAAGGCAAAGTAAAATAGTTTTGAAGTTATGTAAATGGATAATATGAAGGTTGAGTATTTGTAATTTCCCACTTTACTCCTCCAAACATAGCACTTATATATATTTGTAGACTTTGTGATTTTTAAGATTTTTTTGCAGGGTGTCTGAGTTAAAGTGGC